ACAAATTTCCATTAGGAGATTAGGAGCTATATCAATCTCAAGCATGGTCGGGAACACCCAGGCCTGGTGGCATCAGGTCATCCTACCTACTTCCGAATGGAGTTTCAAATCTTGAGAAGTTTTGTTTACTATTGAAAGTCAGCATCCGGGAGAAAACTATTTTCTAGAAAACTTCCATTTTTATGCAATACCCAAACAAGAGGTTGTGGATAGGGGAAAAAATAAAAAAACAACCAGGTTCTGAAAAAATCTGTCAAAATAAAATTCATTCATTGATTGCCTCATTTACCCAAAATATGCCTTTAACATCTACTGATGGTGAATTCATTTATGTCAGGTACCAGTTGGACCCCTACCATAGCAGACATTTTTGTAGTCCTTGATGATACAGAAGTAAACAAGCCAAATAAAGCCAAGCTCTCCATGTAGAGATCTTACAACTTAGAGGGGACATGAGTAATAAATATGCAAATGCACACACATGGAAGGACATAGCTTTGTTAAGTAAGAAAGAAAATTCACACCGTGACAAGTGCATTAAAAGAAATACAAGAGAGAAATGAGATTAGGAGCGCCTGGGGAGGGGATTCTCATTTTGATATGGTGAATCAGAGAAAGCTGTGCTGAGGCAGCCACATCTATATGAGAGTTTTCTTGGAAGATGGACAGGAAATGCCTGGAAGAAGTGCACTAGGCAGAGAAAACATTACCTAGAAAAAGCCGGAAGCGGAAATACACTGGGGACGTTGAGGCACAGAGGAAGGATGGCTTGGTAAGCAAAGGGCAATTTGTCTAGCGCCTTGTAGGCTGTGGGGAGGAGAGTGGAGTCCTGGGTAAGGGACCCGAGCTGGCCAGGTGGATTATACACTCACAATTTTCCTGAGTCTTATAATCCAACCTGTGGGAAAAATACTAACCAAAACCTCACAAGAGCATCACCAGAGTCACAGACTTGAGACATGCCACAGAGGAAGACTCCAGCCCACATGGCATCTTGCTTTCCACAGAATCCCATTGAGTTAGTTGGTGGGGATGGCTTCTTGGAGGAAGTAGATTTTGTGGAGAAATTTGAAAGGAAGTTCTAAGACCAGTTATATTAAACCTATTACTTACAAAATAGTCTGACAGGTTCATAGGATTCATTCACTTTAATTAAAATTACAAATGGTGACCCTAATGAGCCTTCCGATGAAAAAGGACAAATTTCCAATCAGACTACATCACATCAGACATGAAAATTTTATTATCTCTGCAATGACAGATTGATTCACTATACAGGACTTCATAACATTTGAAATTAGGAACACGACATTAAAGTTCACAAACTTATTACCATAATTAGAGTTCATTTGATCTTGATTGCTTTTGTAGGTACTTCTTATTAAATCTGTCTGCCCTTGTAATTCCTAAAGCTTGTGTCTTGCAAATTAAGAATTTCTTGGGAGAATAATTCAGTGTTTCCTTCTCAACCCTTCTCTCTTCCCATATCATATCCTGATGGTTATTTTAATTATAAAAATATTTTTATACAAACAAGTTTTATTAGTCTTTTTTGATTTGCAAAGATTTTCAGACTCCAAACAAATTGGGGAACACAAGCATTATTATTCTATTTTATGCATAAGGAGACCAAGGACCATCAAAGCAAAGAGCACTACTGTAAGCCACATAATCAGTAAGAGGCAGGACTTGACAAAGATCTTGGGTTTCCAGCTTCTGGGATTTTGAAAAAAATAAATAAACCTGTTTTTGAAGCCACTCATTCTGCAGGGCTCTGTTATGGCTGATCCACGAAACATGCCATACAAGGACATTTTCATTAGTGACACTGCATATAGGATGGTAGTTCCATAAAATATAATGGAGCTAAGAACTTTCTATCATCTACTGACATCGCAGCATAGTAACTTCAGAGCGCAATGTATTACTCACATGTTTGTGATGATGCTGGTGTAAACAAACCCACTGGACTGCAGGTAACATAAAAGCACAGCACATACAATTATAAACAGTACACAGTACTTGGTGATGAGAACAACTATGTTACTGTTTGTGGATTTACTATACTATATCTTATCATTGTTTTGGAGAGTACTCCTTGAACCTATAAAATGAAAAGCTTACTTCTCCTGTCACTGTCACTAGCATGACAGTATGCCACCTTGTGCCAGCAGCTGCCTCATGTAGCTCACGTTTATTGAATCTTATGATTGCATCATTTTCTTTTGCACTTGATCAATCTTATGTTGTGTCCATGGTCCTAAGAGCCTATATATAATAGCCCAATGTGTCCACAACACTATGTAGGTATGTATGAATACAACTATGATATTCATACAATGACAAAGATCACCTATGGATTTTTCTCAGAACATATCCTCATCATTAAGTGACGTATGCCTCCAGGTATGACCATTTTTCTCCCAGCCCCATATTTCTCTAGGATAGGGGATATTACTATAATATGAACCCAGTCCTAAGGGAATTGATCAGTAAGAGAGAGGTCAAGTCTACTAGGGGGCCTTCAGCAGCCCCATCTGTGGGAAAATAATAAAAAGGGTCTCTGGGAAATAAGGGAATACTCTTTTTTCCCCCCTAAAAGTTGCCTAAAGAGACAGTAAAACTATCTACCCAGTGAAAAATATATTTTCTTCCTCCTTTGTGGTGCAGTGTACAAAAGACTATTCCATTCTTCCAAGTGTACTCCCACTCGAGGGTTTATGGAAGAAAAGAGAGGCAGGTGTTTTAGAGTCTTTACAAACATACTTGGCACAAACAAGGAAAATTCCAGAAGAAGGATATCAACATGAAATGGTGTTTCTACAATCTTGCTTTCACCATTTTTCTATTTCTTTTCCTTTTTTAAAAAAAAATTTTGTATTCAGAATCATAGCCACCACAGTCATGCAATTCTCAACTTGCCTTGGTTCTACTTAAGATTTTTAAAGGCATAGAAAATCAGTCAAATGAGACACGGTGAATGAGAAATGAAAGAATGAGTTATTCAAAATTCTAGAGGAGGCCGAGGCCACCTGTGCTGTTGGGAGTCCAGGCTGCAGGGCACTAGGCAACCAGTATGGTCTAAAAGCATCCCCACTGGCAGGGCTCCAGGTGTGGTTTTTCCCTGTGAGTCTCCCCAAAGACTTCGCACACTGAGCAAGCAGCAGGTGGGGCAGAGAGGCACTTCCTTCTGAGGAGGCAGGAGCCCTTCCTGTGCCCTTCACCAGCTGATCTTAATCACTCTGAATCACGGGAATCAGCAAGGCCATCACATGGAGATTTAATTATCTTTTCTGTACTCAATTTTCATAATGAACGATTCCAGGAGGTTATTAAATTTTTTATTCCAGAAGGAGCATTTGAAGGCTACCTAGTATGAGGTTCCACTGCCTTTGGAAAATTCCACTCATTCTTTGGGTCTGCGCATTCTTTGGATCAATGTAGTGAATTGCACCAGAGCTTACTGCAAGGGCTTAAAGCAAGGTCACATCTGCATGCATCTACACATCTGTCAACTGCAGCACTGCCAAACCCATACTGACTTATTCACAAGCCAGAGAGTGGTGTATTAGGGACTTTCCCATTCAGAACTACAGAGCTCCTTATGTCTAATACCTCTCCATCTCTCCCCACTGCTGCTTTGTTTTTCTGCCTCTGCCTTGGTTCAAGATTCAGCTATTTCTAGCCAAGTGCAGTAGCACATATTTTTAGTCCCAGCAGCTCAGGAGGCTATGGGAGGAGGATTGCAAGATCAAAGCCAGCCTCAGCAATTTAGCGAGGTTCTAAGCAACTTGGCAGGATCTTGTCTCTAAATAAAATACAAAAAGGGCTGGAGATGGGGATCAGTGTTTAAGTGTCGTTGGGGTCAATCTCTGGTACCAAAAAAGGAACATTCAGCTATTTCTCATTTGTTTGATGATATTAGCCTTCATCTTTGTCTTTCAGCCCCTCCTCCATTCCCAACTATCCGAAACTGCATTTACTTTCTTGGATACTTTATAACCACATAAATCTGTGCTTTGGGTGTTCTTTTCTCTGGGCCAGAAATGCTCTTCTAAACTTGTGCCACCTGGCTACTTCTATTGCTCCTCCAAGAAACATCCTGAAGCTCATATACTCTGGAAGAATTTCCTATCTTCCCATAGACATCTCACCACTACCTTCTCTGGACTAGATGATACCTTATACAGAATTATTCAATAATATTAGAACACTTTTTAATGTGTATGTCTTCATAACTCATTCATATATGAATATTCAGGGTAATCCAAATCACAACGACCCTGATCTTTCTCAATTTTCTCAGTCATTATAACACTGGATTACTTCTGACACAATGCCCAATTAGAACATACCTCCTTAGATCATTTAAAGGGACTTCTGATCCATGAAGGGATTCTTATATTATAAATATATGCCAAAGCACATTATTGAATATAGTCACCTCTGCCACTTTACATTTGACACTTTCTATTCACAGAGATAGACTCCCAAGCCTAAAGGATCTACTTATTCTGGACTAACATCATTTAGGCACCAGAAAAGTACCTTTCCACATCTGTTATCCTGTGCTCCAGGCAAAAAAGAATTGAACACAAGTGGTGTGAGAGTCTTTGAGTTACGTCACTACCAAAATTGGAGATGGACTGCTTTAGAATGTGAAGAAGATTCAGCAGTCAGGAAAGTTTGGGTAGAAGGAAAGACACAATAATTAACTTGTCCTATCTGTCTTCTCAGATGTAAATTCGATGGGCTCTTGCATAATGAGTTATAGTTTCCCTGTGATGCTGAGGGCCAATTTCTTGCTTCCCTTTGGTTTCAGTCCTTCGTTTCAAAGTGGTTTTTTTTAAAACTGGTGAATTATAATCTTATATAATACTAGAATCTATTGTTATATATTCATTCAAGCACAGAATATAATGATATAATTGAGCTGAGGAATATTTTGCAAAATAAAACAATTGCTTGTGCAAACATCACTGGCCTGTTCAAACAATGTCTGTAGATGAGCAATAATTAAATTTAGTTGTACTTAATTGTTTGTCAATTTTAAGTCAGATAGAAACATAATTATACACATATTTCATCATAACCAAGGTATGCTGGTCACATTGACTAGTATACGATACACCTTTTTGGTAACTAGATATATGGAGATGGTAGGACTCCCTTTATACTCTGGCTCCAAGTAGTCAGGATAAGTTTGCATCTTGAGACAAGGCATTGTGTACACCAACTTCTGGAGAATTATCAAGATCCTTGGGTTTAAGACATTTTTTCACTGTTGTGATATGAATACATCAGGATGCTCTTGACAAGCTGTAGACATTCTCTGAAATTCTCTGAAAGACAAACTTCCACATTAACATGTAACATTTGGTTGTGAGCAAGGCATAATTAATACTTATAATATTGTACAAATAGCTGTGATTTCTCTCTTAAAGTTGATTGTGATGACATGCTCACAGATAATTAAATTCCAGAGTCCCAATTTCTTTGCTCAATTCATTGTGAGTCTCTCGTGTACAGCTCTCATCTGTTATTTTGTAGTTAGACATCTGCATAGCTGGCTTCACTCCTAGAAGACAAAGACCACATCATATTCTCCCTTGAAGAACCTGCTGCCTATATATGCATTTAATGGAATTTCTTGCACATTTCAATCCTACCTGAAAAAAGAATGGAGGCACTCAGAGGAAAGTTTCTGATCTTTGAAAATAAATAACAGCTCATTGGGGGCTCTTCAGTAATATACAATTTTCTAATTTTTTAAATTTATTGATTATGCTCCATAAATGCACATGAAATGAATAAAGAACCTATGGGGCAGTTCCCTACTCTGTAGGGAAAACAAACAGGTATTAAAAATGAATGCTGCATATGTGCACACATGCATCTATGATCCTAACAGCTTGGAGTTTTAGAGATATTTTTCTCCCCCAGGGCTTTCATTTTTACCCAAATACCACCAAGGTAAGATTTATTTGCTTTTAAAATAACAACAACAACAAAAAAGGTATTTGCAAGGACCCCCAAATTATCCATTTTGTGATGATGGATGGATGGATGCTTTCACTTGTTCACCTCTACCCCTGTCCTGAACCGGCTCTTCATTGTAACACAGGCCACACACTGACACATGTTTCTGAGGCTGATGCTATGACAGCTTCCTATACGATTTTGCAAAACCTCCTTTTCTCAGAAAAGCTGCATTCAGCCACAACGCATCCATTCTTTGCAGCCAAGATTAGAAAAAAAATTTTTTTTCAGTCAGATTTCACTTGCTTAGGATCAATCTTGTAGGCTATTAAATCTGACTTTCTGATCCCTGCTAACAGAGCATTTGAAGAGTCATCAAAGGGATGCTGACAGTGTCACATACATTACACTAAGCCCTTGATAGCAGCCATTAATGCGTCATAGGATGAGGAATGTGGTCTAGAGATAAAAATAGGCAGGCGGACAGGCATCAGCCCAATCAACTTAATTTCACACATGTACAGCCACTGGTGTATCTGCAGCGAGATTAGGCAATGCCCTTGTTGGCAAACTCATTATAACTTTTTCCAATAACAAGCCTCTAATTAGTTTATAATGTGGCTTTGGTGCAACTAAGCAGAAGAAGGGAAGAACAAATATTAGTCAAATCCAAAGGAGCTGTCTTGGAAAACCTACCCTTAAAATGGCAAGTACCACGTAGAATTGTTACTGAAGGAGGATTCATAGTTCCTTTGTTTTAAAATATTTGGAAGAATAAATAAGCAGAACAGCCTGTGCCTTTCTATTTTCTGCCTCCAAAGCTAAAAGATCAAAGATTTGTTAGAGACTATCTACTAAATGATAACGTATGTTTTCTGCACAAATATTAAGCCTGCAGCTGATTATTTGGTACATATCTCTGACATAAGCAAGCCCCAGTTAGGACAGGAAACACTGTACAAAAATAGCCCTTTTAGATATTACCTGTTATTCTGATGATCTATCAGAGCCCAAATGCAGCAAGATCAAGGTTAAAAACAAGAAATGCCTGGTCATAGAGCAGGATAGAGTCCTGCTTCTAGGCAAACAAGAGTGGGAAAAAACTGGCTGATTGAAGCCATCTGATTTCTGGAAAGTAGTATCCTATCACAAGTTTGGGTATGCAGGGAAGAACACTGCAAAGAAAAGATAGGACCTGTCGTGCACAATACTGATGCATCTCAAATGCAGAACTTCATCAAGAGAATTCATAGAACAACTGGGTGGATTGGAAGGGGGTCAGGATTGAAGGATGGATTGAGTCTGAGAACACTTTGGTCCTGCCACAAGTAAGCAAATGCACATCCGAGTTGTAGTGTGGATCTCAGTTCCTAATTTCAGCACAAACACAGTGGAAAGTTTTTCTTTGTTAAAATGGTCAAAGAAAAGGCAGGTCTTTAAAATGTAATTATTTTAGTTATTTCAATACTAGAATGTTTGTGGCATATTTGTTAATTTAAGTATAAGTTGCATATTCCCTCATTAAGTCAAAGGAAATTTCATGCAAATGCAGCAGGGTACAGGTGGGGCCCTTCATTTGTGAGGTACATTTTACCAAGGCCTGAACTTTGTGCTAGCTAAGACTGCTCCTGTGTCTAGTGGGAGAGGTGCTCTGAAATCTGAATGCAGCATTATCTTGTTTTATAACTGTGATGCCTAATAACAGAAAGAGGTCTTTGGGCCATAATTAATAGCCATTCTTACAGATCTTTTAACTCTCTGTAGTCTCTAAGGAGCTTTCTTTCCATTAACATTTCCAGAAATAGCTTACGTTACATTATTGAAGTGCTGCAAGTGATAGTTTCCAAATTATACCTAAGCTAATTATTAAAAAATGATTACTCAAAAAGCTTTTTCCACTTTGAATTGTACCTTTAAGAGCCTTGTAGTAAATATAAAGATAGGTCCTTGGCCCATAGGAAGAATCTCTGCCGATGATATAGCCAACTCCATTAAGTCAATCTTCAGTGTGCTCTAAAATGTGTTTTCATTACAAGTTATGGTGCTAAATACCATGGGAAACGATATGCAAATCTGTAATATTAACTATGCCAGTTAAGAGGAGCCAAACTAACCTAATGAAGGGAATATAGCCACTATAAAGCCATGTTTTGCTTTTTTTTAAGGTTAATTAGACTGCCTAATTATCCCAGACTGAGAACATATTATTCTCTTGGAAAATCAAGCATAATTAACTTAGAGAGGCTTCCCCTACAAGCAAAAACATGTAAACAGAAAAACTCCAATTCAAAGTGGCTAACTTCCATTGAAATCCTAAGGATGGCTTGATATTTATGTAAATAAAAGAAGAAACAAACAGAAACACAAACATACAACAATACAGTAATCCTCCCTTTGTTGGTTTCATTCTTTGCTTTGTTACCCATGTTAAAGTTTAGTATAAAAATATTACATGGAAAGTTCTAGAAATAAACCATTCAGGGGCTGGGGTTGTGGCTCAGTGGTAAAGCTCTTGCTTAGCATGTGTGGGACCCTGGGTTCAATCCCCAGCACCATGTAAAACTAAATAAACAAAATAAGGGTATTGTGTCCATCTACAACTAAAAATATTTTTAAAAATTCATGTTTTAAATAACATTTATTATATGGTTTTATCTTATTATTATGAAAGCGTTGTTGAAACTCTTACTGTACCTGATTTGTAAATTAAACCATATATCATGTTACGTATGTATAGAAAAAAATGTAGTATATGATGTGTAGGGGACTATCTGCAGTTTCAAGCATCCACTGGGGATCTTGGAACCTGTTCTCCTACACACAGGGGGAAGCTACTGAAATTGTTAAATGTGGCCACCCTAAACCTATAATGTATAGAAGACCTGACTATAAAATGTATCCATAAATCCTAATCTACACAAAATATTCACAAGAAAATGAAAATAAGATATTTTCTAGGAAAGATATGAATATTAGAATTGTTTTGCTTTAGGTGCCCAGCAACCATCCCCCTTTTGGGTCAACACTACCCCAATTTTCCTTCTGGGGAGCTATCTTTTGTAGCTGCATTGCAGTTCTGCCTCTCCTCTTGCTCAACCTTCACTTCGTTACAGATAAAGTTCCCAAGACAGTGCCCCAATTAAACAACTGCACACAATTGTCCATATCATAGTGGCAGGAAGAGTCCCTTCCCAGGAAATCCAATTCATGGCATTGGTGCCAAGATCCATCCTAGGCAGCAGGATTTAAAATGGGATTTTGGAGTTAAATCTCTTGCTGGCTAGCAGACAATGAGGATCACATGGCTGATAGTTGGAGTGAAACTGATAGCCTCTTCACACTGCTGCAGGATGACTATCAAAACTATCACTGGTGGTAGGTAGAAGAAAGTTTATGGGTGGGTGCAATATCTTAGTTACTTGAGGATAGCAGGAGAAACAGCAATTATAAGAACAATGAAATTTTATTTTTCTCTTGCTACATGTAAAAAAAGACAAGGAAAAGCTGATGGTGATTAATTACTAATTTACAACAAAGTATGGAAGCCAAATGGCCCCTTTGGCAGCATATAAAAAGATACTCATCTCTTTATAGGAGTGTATATGAGTAGCCAAAAGCTAGGAAAGCCTGAGAATCAGGCCCAGAGTTAATTAAAATTATAGTGGAGCTCCAGAAAAGGTTGCAACCCAACTCTGGAAAGTTGGTTAAACTAATTTCAGGACCCTGATTGGGAAAGAGTGAAACCTTGAGATTTGGCCTAACAATCCCTTGTTGGACAAAGCCAGTGGCAAATGGCTCAGCTGGTTGGTTAGGAGCTTATAAGGACAAGGAGGTCTGTGGAAGACACATGTGATTGGACTTATGGAATTGGATGCCGAGTGTGGAGATCTTTGCATTGCATTTTAATTATCAACAGAAATGTCCATCATGGAAGACATGAAACAACCAGGTGGACAAAAAACTTTGCCTTCTGAAGACAGTTAGCCTCAGTCATCAGCCATGCCCATGCTATCACAATGGCTACGAGAAGACAGCAACCAAAGAAGCAGGAATGGAGACTATGCACAGGTCCAAAAGCATGGACTTCTACTCACCAATGTTTTTCCTAACTACTGTCACTGCTGAATATTTAATCTTCCAGATTCTGAATTCCCAATATGTCACCAACATATAAAGAGATGAACCAGCCACTTAGTAGCAAGCTGATTATGCTCAACATCCTTTACCCTACAAAGTTCAACAACTCATGGTAACTGAGATTGACTCATTCCGTGTTATGGGTTTGCCCTTTTTGTCAGCAAGGTCTCAGCAGCACCATTATTTGAGCGCTTATCAAGTGTTTGACCTCCCGATACAGGTCCTCATCAACATTTCATCTGGGCAAGACAAAGAAATTAAGGGAATTGACACATAATCCTTGTCTCTATCCATCTTATACCACATTGCCTAGAAACTGCTGGAATAATAGAGACATAAAACAACATTTTGAAGGTACAACTGAGCCACTGGCTTGGACTGTTCCTGCAAGAATGGGCACTCTTCAAGACATAAAATATACCTTCAGTCCATTATGCCATTTTGTGTCCCATTAAGAAGAAC